GAGAATGAGAGATTGAGACTAAGAGAGAGAAAGAGAGAAAGGACCGTTGGGAGAGTTAAGATCGGCAACGAGAGAGAGTCCGACAGGCGACGGTGGTCAGCGACGACAGGTGAAGGTTAAAAGGACTGATGACTGAAACTCTTCTTTATCTATTCTCTATCACTCGAGAAGGCACGAAGCTAGGGTTCTGAATCTTTTGTGGCAACGACGGGTGACAGCGTTGGCGGCCGGCGAATCGGCGATGAAGAGTCGAAGATGAAGGAAGTGCTGGAAGGCGAATCGGTGAAGCTGTTCTAGAGACAGACGAGTTGAGACTTGAGAGTTCTCGACTTCTCTCTTCTCTCTATCGAGGGTTTTAGACTTGTTTAGTATTTTAAACTTTTATTATTTTTCAAGTTTTAATAATTAATATTTTAAAAATGAATAACATTAATCGGGGATGGGTCAAGGCGAGGATTGCATTCCCCGTCCCCGATCGGGGATTCAGGGATTGCCCCATCCCTGACCCCGACCCCACCAAGGTACCCCTATCCCCGACCCCATCGGGTTGGGGAGCCCGGATACCTRTCGGGGACGGGGAAAATTGCCACCCCTATTCTCGGTAAATGGGTTGCTGAAGAGTCCCACATACTGGGTTAGAAAATTTGTCCTAAGAAACTTAAAATTAAGTTTTAAGCTTTTAATTTATAATAACTTTGATCATACTTTTCAGTCAATGTATTAGTTTAACCTTCAACAATGTTTTCAAGTACTTGCATGTATGTTAGATCCGTACCTATCAAGTAAGAGGGAGAAGAGAGGAAAGAGTGTCCAAAACCTTCTTTCTCTTTCTCAATTAATTTGTAATTGGTGAACATGGGCCTGTTAGGCTCAGATTGGTTTCAAGGTTGTTCTGACCTTGGTAATTTAAAAGTCCTAGGGTCTACTTGTGGAGCATGTGTTTTTTTTTTTTTTACTCCCCTCAAAAAGAAAAAGAACTTGTTATTTAAAAATTTAATTTTCAACAACAACAATAACATTAATAATAATAATAATAATAATAATATAGTTTAAATATATATATATATATTACCTTTTACATTATTATATATAAATATCAAATTCAAGAAAAATTACCAAATCTCTTACATCAATTCAATGGTCAAGTGAGTCTATGGTCTTTATAATCATGAGTTATTGAGTTCAAATCTTCATATCCTTAAAATATTTTGGGGTTTATTTCAAGACAAGTTTGGTTCTAAGATTGATTCCACCAAAACTAATTCTCTTAACCGTTTCAGGTAGAATAAACCCCTAGACCTTAGAACTGGCTTAGATGGGGATTGGTTCCAAGAATTTAGAACCAAATCCTAGCCAAGAACAGGCAATAGAATCAGTTCAATACCAAATTAAGGTCGATTCCATTTAGTTCCAAATAAAATCTATACATCTTCTCACCCCTAATTGAAACCTCCACCTAATACTCTCTCTCTATATATATATTGTCTAAGTCAATGCTTGTAAAATGTCCCTTATTATTAGACTATACTGATTGCGACATAATATATATATATAGGACGAGCCAGTTATATTTATTTATTGAGTGGGACAAACCAAGGATGGGGATCTACCATGTTGCACTACAACATTGACTACCTTTCTCCTGCCTCCTACCACATTGCAAAGCAATGGTGAACTCCAAGCTGTCAAAACAGTACTGAATTATCCAATGGAAAGGGAATTAGTTAAGGCCAATCAGTCAAATAAAAGGCATCATTGCTACAATTAATCAAGGCAATCCAGAAGGAAAGTTCTTACCTGCTACACATGGAGGTCTCTGTGGAAGGGAAACCAATGATGGTAGGGATAATGATGTCATTACAAGTGATACCTAGTTGGTTAATGGTAAAGGCTTAGGATTTTGTGAGGATTAGCGCTTCCCAGGCGATAGGGGTGGACACAAGTCGAGCTTTTCACGAGCCATTTGAACTCGGATCGTGAAAAGCTCGGCTCAAATTGAGCTTCGAGCCAAATTCGAGCTTCATACTAAATTCGAATAGTAATCAAGCCGGCCCGAGTAGTTTGAAGTTCAGCTCGTTAGGCACACGAGCCTAACAAGCTTATATATATAATCATAGATAATTTATATTTTCATATACATACATACCCATATATATATATATATTATACCTTTTCAAGAAATTTTATTTGTGAAACTATTTTATAATGATAGTCCCTTATACACGGTACAATTTCAGAAACAAAAAACCTTTCGACCTAACATAACCATTCGAAAGTTGACCCTTCTCATCTCTGTCCTCTCTGCTCTCTCGTCTCTCTTCTCCGACTCTGAGTCTTCTCTCAACAACTCTCAAGCTCTCAGGCAGTCAAACTCTTAAGCTTCAGCCTCTCACAAGTCACCAGACTCACCACCACCACAGCTCTATCTCTTGTCTCCTCTCCTCTTTGTTCTCTCGTCTCTCCTCTCCGAGTCTCCTCTCAACTCTCAGGTGGTCAGGCCTCAGCCTCCCACCGGTCACCACCACTACAGCTCCGCCTCTTGTCTCTCCTCTCCTCTCCTCTCAAGCTCTCCTCTCCTCTCAGCTCTCAACTGAAGCTCGTAAGTCGCAGTCCAGAGACTCCAAATTCACAAGTCGCAGGTCTCAGCTGTAGGCCGCAACCTCTCTAGCCTCTTGCAGTCCAGCCTCTCACCGTCTCAGGTCTCACGCACTCTATCCCTAGTCATTCTAATATCTAGTTTTCTTCTTTTCTATCTGAAATTTCCTGTTTTGAGTAAGTTACAGACTTATAGGTTGCAGCAGTCTTATTTTGTTTTTCTTAAATAGAGTTTGAACCAAATCGAGCTTACTTTTTTTCTTAAACAGATGCCACATGTTCATTAAAGCTCGAGCTCAAGCTCGAATAGGCTCGGATCATATTGAGCTCGAGCCGAATCGAGCTCGAATATATAGTTTTTTCATTCGAGCCGAGCTCGAGCTTGCATTTTCAATTCGAATCGAGCTTGATCCCAAGCTTGAGCCTTGTAATTTTATACCGAGCTGAGCTAAAATACCCAAATATTTGGCTCGGCCTGGCTCGAATCCACCCCTACTAGGCGACTCCTTCAGATTAGGTTAGAATTATCAACTTCTGGTGACACAGTTGAGCAAGTCTCAAAGTAACAAGTGGAAGAGTTAATGAATGTTGTAAATTTTTTGGCATCTCTTTCCCTAATGGGGAAGCTAGTGCTCATGAGATCCTAAAGTCTAAGCTGCTTTCCATCACACAGCTAGTAATCCAAAGAACTATTTAAGTAATTAAATTGGAAAGTCTCAAGTGGGAGTGGTGTTGACTCGACTGGTTGTTTGATAGCTTGGACAACCTCCCTAGTTGTAACTTGTAAGACAGTGGAGCAGCTACTAGATTTCTACAATGACATGGTGGTTAAACCTTGCATTAAGTGATCCTGATGATAGTATCAGAACCGATGATGTCATCATTGGGAGATGTTCCCAATACACAGTGGGGATGTGCTATAGGACGTTGTGGGATGGAGATGTGAACTCCAAATAATGATTGATGCATATAACTAGGTTACCTCTTGCATATTAGCGCTTGGCCATATAAGATAATGTCATCCACAAACAAAAGGAGGTTAAGAAGATATCCACCTATACCAAAGCAGCATTTCTTTAAACTGCTTGTAGAGTCTGGATCTGTTCTTCACAGAACGCATCTCACACCAACCTCACAATGTCCTAACTGCATATTGGGAATATCTCCCATACTTGTATTTATTATTCATGATCGGAGAGATGTTCCCAGGGTGAAATGTGGCTGTGAGGTCGGTGTGAGGTATGTTCTTTGAGGAACAAATCCCAATTCCTGCATGTAGAGAGTCCATTAAGCAATCAATGATTGAGGCCATAAGGAGAAATTTTATGCTGCGACTAACTGCCACTTATGCACGTGAGAGAGAGAGAGAGAATTTATTACTTATCAGGTCTACAATATAGCATGGTTTTGAAAATCAGATTAGACTGGACTATCAGACCCTTGACTCAAGAATTGGTCATGGTTTCAGGTCCGGTTTTAGACCTCAAAACCACCCAATTAAGGTTCAGACCGGACAGTCAGACCATTTGACCTAAGAATCGAAAGCCAAAATAGCTCCATTTCAAGGTTGGTTTTTAAAACCATACAATATAAAAAATCAAGAGCTAGACTTTTATAAAACCCACCAATAAAGCCCTGCATCAAAAAATTAACATGGTCTCATATATATAGAATACACATTATTTTGAGCTTAAAAGATTTATAAATGAACATTTCCCCCCATTCAAAAGACTTTCAGAAAAACACACACATATGGGGTTTTTCTTGGCCACGTTAGATTCATTAATTGGTTGTTCCCTATGTATTAAATGCCTAATCACAAGGGGGGGCCCAAACCACGTTGAAAATCCAGTGTCCTCAACCCACTATTAATGGTATTCAGTATATAGGTAATTAGTTACTAAATTCACTTTTATTGTTTGTCCCAAATAAGCTAAGGGTGTTGGATATATTCAGATCAATTCTTTCATGTGTGTTAGTGTTAGGTTGTAGTCTTGTACCTTTGAATTAAGAACTTCTAATAGAAAGCAGGTTACAATGTTTGATACCCAGGCCCTAATTAAATAGTAATTCCTCCCAATAAATTATAATATTGAACTAGGAGAGACGGAAATGTATCAGTATTTGATTACAAAATTCAGGCAGAAAGTCAATGGCGCTTGTTTGTCTCCCATCACACGCCTTTTACTTTGAAGAGTTCTAATTCAAGATTCTTAATTAAAAGGGTTCTCATCAATTTTATTGCTAAGTTTAAAATTTGGAGACACTCCTATAAATTAATAAACCCCTTATAGGCTCTTATTCATGCATTCTATAGTACTTCTGGTTCTCTCTTCTAAGTCCATCCACCACCACCTTCTCCTCCTTTTCATAGTCATTCTCTTTGTTGGTTTTAGAGGTTAGAGATGAGTATAGAACGTCTTCTTTTGACTCTCTTCTTCTTGGGTTTCTTCCCCGGAGAGTTGGCTGTGGCTCAAAACACAACAATCCCATTCAAAATGGGAGTCGTTCTTAATTCTGACAAATGGGTTGGGAAGATGGCTCTGAGCTGCATTTTCATGGCGGTCTCCGACTTCTACGCCACCCACAGCTTCTACAGAACAAGACTGGTTCTCCACACTAGAGACCCAAACAATGACATCGTTGGCGCAGCTTCTGTGAGTAAGTTACTACTCTTTTCCATACTTGTATATGATATCATATACCAGTTCCATAAACCTTACTTTCTGCTCTTTCCATTTTTTAATGTCTGCAACATCTATGAGCCAGTAAGTTACTATTCTTTCTCATTGATCTTTCTATTATATATTCTATATTTCTGTTCTTTCTATCGTTTGGTAAATCTTTTTTTAAAGATCTTCTGAAAGCTCTAATAGTTAAAGACGATTTGGGCTTTTGCATTAAGATCTTAACAGCTTGAAGATCGTTTGGTTAAGGTGTGTCTTTTCGTACAAAGAGCGAAGATGAGTTGAAAAAAAGGAAAAAAATTCTATTTGGAACTTCCTTAAAATAGCACAAAATGGACTTTCTATGTCTTTTTGGGTCTGCGGCTTTCGACGAATAAATCTTTTCCCAACCAAATGGAAAAAGACCAAAATACGGACTACTGGGCTTCTAAAAAACCAACAGCCCGCACCAAGAACATACCAAATGAGGCCGTCTTTTCCGTCTGCAACATCTAGGCCATGCATGGTTAGCTTAATTCTCGGAAGAGGCTCTGGCAGAAACAAAAATAAACGAATGTTTCATTCAGCAACTGGTCCACTTCTTGGTTTGTAAAATAAATATTTGTCTTCTATACCTGCATTGATTTCTTTGTGCCTCTCAAAAATCTATTCAACCTAAAAGCTTAAGCTATTAAGTGAGATTATTGAATAAGTTTTATTTTCTAACAGTGCCTAATAAGATTGGATTTGTTTTTTCTCCAATAAAATAAATTAATTAATGTGCCCAGAAAGCGAAGAACTCAAATGGGAAAAAAAGAAAAGAAAGCTTTCTTTGTGGGTTGATTAGTTAACATGTTTCTTGAGGTCCACAGATTCAAACTTTCAATCCATGATGTATACATCATATCTCTGCAAAGGAACCTGGAAATTTCTTAGAAGTCAGAAGTCAGACTGATATAAGGAAACATGGGAGGTATGAGACTGACCAACTTGTTAGCTAAGCAATAATTTTTTACTGGAAGGATTATTATTCTAGCCAACTTTGGTTCATTTTTAACATGCTGTCAAGGGTATTGCCTTCTTAACTCTAGAATTAGTAGTCAAAGCTTTTCAATTCGTTAATTTGTTTAGTTATAACATTCATCCAGCCATATTCAACTAAGGGCGTTAGAGCCAAGTTGTTTCTGTTGATCCTTCAATGATTCCGGTCCAAGTATATATGATTTGGGTTTTTTTAGGGTTAAAATCTATCTTTGACCAGTCAACTCCCATGTCAAACCCATTTTTTTAGGGTAAATTATGCTTTTACTTCCCCTGAGCTTTGGCTCTCCAAAAACCTTCTTCACATTCTAGATAAATTATACAATGTATGCTGCCGGAAAGACATGATACCAGAAGAGATTTAAGCAGTCAACCCCCTGTGTTCCATTTTTTAGGTTAAATTACTTTAACCTCTCTTATAACTGCTTTATCTGAAGTTGACCACTCCAAAAGCCTTTTGCACATTCCACATAAATTATACAACCTATAGGCTGCAAGAAAGACATGATTTTAACGAGTCAACCCCCCTTTTGAACCCATTTTTTAAATGTAAATTACTTAAACTCTCTCTATAACCTCCACATTAATTCCACATAAATCATACAAAGTTACAAATTGACCACCCCTTTTTCATTTAGATGTTGTATTAAAATAAAAAAGAAAGATAATGTCATGTTTTCAAACATAAATGCAAGGTGCCAACTCACTGGTTATATGGGTTGGCGGGTAAATGGGTTTGGGGATGGATATACCCCCAACATAGATAAATTTGATTTTGCCCAAAGGATAAGAGTTTTGAAATATCCATTTAAGAACAGGTGGATTCTTTCTAACAAAAACCTTTCTTTCCTCTTCTTCCCTCACTCTTATCAAGTCTGATTACTTTTGTTGTTGTTACTGTTATTATTCTTTGGAAAAATTTCTGATCAGTAGTATCTTGAACTTTAGGAGTTATGTCAAGTCAGTCCTCGAACATCAAAATGTGTCTATACAGTACCCAAACTTTTAGGATGTATCTAATAGGTTCTTAGTGTTAACAGTTCGTCAATTATCATTATCACATGATGACATGTGCCACTTAAAACTTTTAAAATATCAAAACTACCCTTGAAAGAAGACACTGTTTATTGTCTTCTATCTTGAGGCTGAAGAGCTGCGCCATTACTAAATGGTGCTGGGAATTGACCAAGTTCTAGTGATGGCTGAAACCATCACTGCTACAGATTCCTGTATATTCTTTATTTTTTAATTATAGGTAACTGATAAAAATTTCTTATATATTTTAAAATCCATCACTCCACAAGCCTGAAAACAAGATTGCTTGGAACTAAGGTGGAACAATAACATAGTTTATTAGAATTAAGATTTAAACGGAAGGAGTTTTGTTTAAATTGATTCATGTTGAAGTGATAGATAAAGAAAATTAGATGGCACCTGATGGGTAGTTTTTTCATTTTCAAATTTAACTGACAAACTGTTAATGGCAGGGACCTATTAGGCACATTCTGAAAGTTTGGATACTGCATAGACATATTTTGGAGTTCAGGGACCAACTTAACACAACCCCTAAAATTCAGAGTACTGACCAGAAATTTGCCTTGTTGTTTTATTGTTATTGTATAATTTATCCTAAATGTGGAGGGATTTTTTCAGAGAGATAAATGTTAAGTTTATAGTACTTGTCAGAAACTACAAGGGAGCTTTAAATAATTTACCCCTTCTTTTGCTATGGTTGGGATGCATTTTGGGCAGACCCAGTCACTGTAAACAAATCGGATTCAACAATATCCGATTAACTAATGAAAAAGGGTATCCGAATTTGATCCAAAATCTGATCGATCTAGGATTGGATACGTATCCTATCACTCTTGGATCAGATTTAGATATGATCCAATTCAGATTCATTTTGTTAAAAATAAAGAAACAAATAAAAGAAATTATTTATTTCTTTAACTTATTTATATATATATATATATATATATATATATATATATATATTTACATTATATATATTATTTATATTTTAGATTTGCTCCAATCTGATTCTTGATCGAATGCAAATTGTAAAATTCAAATTCAATCCAATAATGTAAACAGATCATCCAAATCGAAGATAATCAGTTTGGATTTTGGACTTGTCCTTCCCATCCATGCCCATCCCAAACCCAGCCAAACTTTGTCATTGGCTGGGCCTGTGCCTGAAAGCTTAGGCTTGCGTTTAAATCATTTGGGCTTGGGTTGAAAGGTCTTGGGTTTATGGGTGTCAATAAACTAGATTCCGGTTGGACCTCATCTGAATCAAACCAATTTGAACAGGTTGGACAGTCTAATTATGGATCAGTCTAGACTTAATGATCCAAATATTTATTGGATTGGACCTGATCCATCTGTAATGTATTTAAATTTGATGGGATCAGGTTGGACCAATATCCAATTCATTAACAGAAGATAAGGGTAGGGGTGCCACTGGACCAGGTTTGGGTTGGATATAATCTGAATCAATTTGAAACGATTGGGTGGTCCAATAAGACATTGAATTGTGTCTGTCCAGTCCATAATATTTATCAGATTGGATTGGACCTGATCCATCTATAATTGACTTATGTTGGACCAATATCCAGTCTATTAACTGCACTACTTGGGTTGTATAGGCCCAACCCGTCCCAACAATGATAATATTCATCCCATATTTATTTATTTATTTATTATTAACACTTCATTATGTACTTACTATGTTATATATTTGGTCCAGGCCCACATTGCACATACATACACAACACATATCGTGTTTTGTTTTCTGGAGAACATTTTTAGTATACATGTAATTTTTTATATGTAAAATTTTATGAATTTGATGAACTATGAAATTTTAGTATAAAATTTTTTATTTGTAAAATTTCTTATGAATGACAATATATAAGAATGAGAGATGTTTCCAATGCACAGTTGTGATAATGAGCTGTGAGGCACTTTTTGTGAGGAACAAATCCTATTTCATTATAGATATAGATATAGATTATCTCAATTGTCTTTGTAATTAATGCCTGCTTTGTTTGTATTGCAATTTCATTTAAAATAGTGCAAAAGAATGGGAGTGCAAAATTCAAACACAAATTCTGTTTCTTCTTTTTTTTCAGCTTCTGCCTTATTTTGTTTGTTTGCATTGCAGATGAAGTCAAACAAAACCTGAAACAAAGCAATGCAAAACACAACAAATGGATCATAAGTTCATAAGTACTCAAGTTAAACGACAGGACTAAAATTCTATTCATCAAATATACGATAAAGGAATATCTACTATTTGAAGAAGTATAAATACAAATATGTAGAGTGCAAAACCTTGTATTTTATATTATTTTACATATATTTGTACTGTTTCTAAACTGAGCTTGGAAACAGTACAACTACAAATATGTACAGGGTAAATACATACAAAGTAATACAAAATATAAGATTTTGTACTCTACATATTTGCATTTATACTCCTTCCAAACTGAGCCTTATTAGTAGTTTTCAATTTATCATTTTCCGCCAGGGATCATGATCTCTTGGTAACCTTCTGTAATGCAACTAAGGCTCAGTTTGGAGGGAGTACAAATACAAATATTGTACAGTTTAAAGCGTTATATTTTGTATTTCTAAACCTTTATTTGCAGTATAGATACTTGTATTTGTACTCTTTCCAACAATTCGTTGTGTTTGGAACTTGCCACATGAACAGGAAATTAATTGCTTGGTGAGGGTAAAGGTGGAAATAATTCTAAATTTGCTTTTTGAATCTTCAAACACAGCTCTGGATCTACTAAAGAACACACAAGTGCAAGCCATCATAGGGCCAGAAACATCTTCACAGGCCAACTTTGTGGTTGATCTTGGAAACAAAACCCAAGTGCCCATTGTCTCTTTCTCTGCAACGAGCCCTTCCCTTTCTTCAATTAAAACTCCTTATTTTGTTCGGGCATGCCTGAATGACTCTACTCAAGCCAAAGCCATAGCTGCCATTGTCCAAGCTTTTGGATGGAGGGAAGCTGTTCCAGTCTATGAAGACAGCGACTTTGGGAATGGAATCATACCTTACTTGACCGATGCCTTGCAAGAAATCGATACTCGTGTCCCTTACAGGAGCGTCATTCCTCCCTTGGCCTCTGATGATCAAATTCTTCAAGAGCTTTATAAGCTGCAGACTATGCAAACTAGAGTATTCATTGTGCATATGTCAGCCTCTCTTGGAAGTCGCCTCTTTCTGAAGGCAAAAGAGGCTCAGATGATGACTGCAGGATATGTGTGGATCATCACAGATGGGTTAACTAATCTCCTAACCTCCATGGATCCTTCTATCATTAACTCCATGCAAGGTGTTCTGGGTGTGAAGCCATATGTACCAAAATCCAAAGAACTTGAGAGCTTCAAAATTAGATGGAGAAGGAAGTTCCAACAGGATAATCCCAATACCCAAAGAGCTGACCTAGACATTTATGGGCTGTTGGCTTATGATTCAGTCTGGGCACTGGCAATGGCAGCAGAGAATGTTGGGGGTGCAAATCTTTCCTACCAGCAGGTTCAGAGTACTGATAACTCCACCGATCTTTCAACACTAGGAATATCGAAAATAGGACCAAAACTTCTGCAGACAATTTTGAAGACAGGGTTTAGAGGCTTGAGTGGGGAGTTTCGCCTTGTTGATGGGCAGCTCCAGTCATCTTCTTTCCAGATAGTGAATGTGATAGGGACTGGGTGGAGAGAGGTTGGGGTATGGACCCCAACAAATGGAATTCTGAAAAATATGAGCGCCACAAGTAGCCAAGTGTATTCAACTTCAAAGAACAATCTCCAAACTGTCATATGGCCAGGAGATCCTACATTTGTTCCCAAAGGTTGGGTTATTCCCACAAGTGGGAAGAAGCTGAGAATTGGAGTTCCTGTGAAAGATGGATTTAGTCAATTTGTAAATGTTTCTCACAACACAGACACCAATGAAACCATAGTCACTGGGTACTGCATTGATGTCTTCAAGGCTGTAATGGAGGAATTACCATATGCTGTTCCTTATGAGTTCATTCCCTTTCAGAAGGCAAATGGTGCAAGTGCTGGGAATTACAATGATTTGATATATCAAGTGTTTCTCCAGGTAATGAAGTTCTGTTTTGAATGATCAATTTTTTCATCCCTTTGCTAACAGAACGACCTTTCTTATGTTGAACCAGAATTATGATGCTGTTGTAGGAGATACCACTATCATAGCCAACAGATCACTATATGTGGACTTTACATTACCATATACAGAATCTGGGGTGTCCATGATTGTGCCTATTAAGAAGGACGATAGAAAGAATGCCTGGATTTTCTTGAAGCCTTTGAACAGGGACCTTTGGATAACAAGTGCTGCTTTCTTCATCCTTACGGGTTTTGTGGTTTGGCTTCTTGAACATCGAATAAATTCAGAATTTAGAGGCCCTGTTAGTCATCAGATTGGAATGATCTTTTGGTTCTCATTCTCAACTCTTGTCTTTGCACATAGTAATTCCTTCTCTATTTCTTTTAATTTACAAAATAGATGACATAGAAGGTCATATATTTAGTCTAGCAAGATAACCCACTTACCTACCACATCATATGGATTCAACATTTCTGAAAATTATCATGCTAATTCACAGTATTGCAAGGCTATATATCATGGCCTATACATGATCAATCCCATATGGGATTGTTCAAATATCTTCATATGAACCATTAATCGTGTATATAAGCTCCAAATGGATGTTCCATGTATTGAATTAATTAAGAAATAGTGAAATTAAGGGTCCATTTGGTTCGTAGTTGGAATCGGAATGGTCCATTCCCATAGTCTATTTGGTTCAGACAGGAATGGGATTGGGAATTAAAATCAGCAGGAATGGGATTTCATTCCCAAGAAAAGGGCAGGCAATGATCATTCTCTCAAAATAGGAGAATGTCATTCCAGCGAGAATGGGATTCCGATTCCACCCAACCAAACAATTGGAATTGGAATAACCCATTCCAATTCTGATTCCAGACCCCTATTCCCGTAAACCAAATGGGGCCTAAGTTCCAATTTCATTTTCCTGGCTTCATGGGGCTACACAAAGGGGGTTACTCCATCCCTCATCCCCTTATCGCCCCCCAATCCTGTAAATTGATCACAGATATATATACTCTCTAAAATCATGTCGTCAGCTCAATTTTGATGTAATACTTTTGCATCGACTGCAGGAGAGAGAGTGGCAAGCAATTTGGCTAGATTTGTTGTGATCATTTGGGTTTTTGTGGTACTAATACTCTCTTCAAGCTACACAGCAAGTTTGACTTCGATGTTGACAGTCCAAAAGCTCCAACCCACCATAACTGACATAAAAGAGCTCCAAAACAAGGGTGAGTGTGTTGGCTACCAGGAAGGCTCGTTTGTGGTTGGACTCCTTAAAATGATGAACTTTGATGAATCCAAGCTCAAGGAATACAAGTCTGTAGATGAATGTAATGAAGGTTTATCCAAAGGGAGTCGTAATGGTGGTTTTGCTGCTGCTTTTGATGAGATTCCTTACATCAAGCTCTTTCTTGCTAGTTACTGTTCTAAATACACAGTGGTGGGACCTACCTACAAAACAGATGGATTTGGTTTTGTAAGTCTCTCTCTCAATAAAACATATTCAAGGATGTCACTTAACAGTTTAAGCTTTTGGGTTGAATGATTCTCTGAGATGGTATCAGAGCCATTTTGATAAAGTGGTATAGTGTTCGATTCTTCAAATCCACTTTGATTAATTAAGTTTTAGCACAAGGTATGGGCGGGCCTATGCTGTTCGTGCTTCAAGTCCAATGGACCCTTATGTGAGGGGCATTTTAGAGAATAAAATCTTATTCAAAGACCTCACTTGACAACTTAAGCTTTTAGGGACTCCKGATCTCCTGCCCACAAGAACTCTGCCCATGCCTACCCACGATACAGATGATGATATATTCTTCATGTGTGATTGCGATAAATGTGGGCAGAGTTCTCATAGACAAGAAATCCAAACTCGCTTTTAGGTTAAATGGTTCTTCGAGACTCTCTCTCCTGCTAATGTAGCAATGTTGGTTCCTTTGATCTTCCCTAGGTTTTCCCAAGAGGCTCGCCCTTGGTACCGGATATTTCAAGGGCAATCTTAAACGTAACAGTGGGAGATACAATGAGACGAATTGAGGTAGCCTGGTTTGGACAGCAAGCCAATTGCCCAGACCCCAATACATTGGTTTCTTCCGACGACATTAACAGTCTTACTATGGACAGCTTTTGGGGCCTTTTCCTCATCGCCGGAGTTTCTTCAACTTTGGCGCTCCTCGTATTTGCAATCAGCTTCTACTGTGACAATAAGCATCAGTTGGAGAATGTCGATCCCGATACCTCTGTGTGGAAGAAAATGGCCATCTTGGCAAAACAGTTCGATAGAAAGGACCTCTCATCGCATACTTTCAGGAGAAGTGATGACAACTCTTCACACGCTCTAAGGAGAGCAGAAGACGATGACCAATTTGAAGACTTGATGATAACCAACAACACTGCACCTCAAAGTCCAACTTCCAACCGCACAGATGGAATCTTTATTCCCCCAGAAGAGCACGGAAGGCCCTCCATTGAGGTTGCAAATCATAGTCATGATGAACCTGTATCTCAAGAGATGGTATCTTCTATTGAACTCAGCAATCAAAACATAGAGAGGTCTAGTGCTCATGGGATGAGTACTGAGTACTGAGTACTGAAAGGGGTTGATCAGATTGATCTCGTTCTTGCTTCCCTAGGTGCATTTTCATGTAAAATTATCTCACTCAAAAATATATGTATATTTTATATTATTTTATAAAGGTTAAAATGATAATATATTAATATCCATTAGTTTTTTTAACGTTAAATTAGTATGATAAATTTTAAACATTTTGAAAAATTATAATAAATTCAAAAAAAAAAATGCTGAAAACTTAGGATGAATTTCAGACAATTTCCCAAAAACAAATAATTATGGCATAACCGACGGTTTAAGTGTAATGGTTCAATACAACCTGGATGGTAACATCATATGAAATTTAACTTGTAACATTATAACTAATACTATCATAAAACTTTGTAAAAACTGAGTCAAAAAGCTTTTTAAAAACCCATGAACCGGTGAGTTAAATAATGGTGTTATCATTGAGCTGCAGTTGAACCGGTGTAGTTTATTCAAACTTTCGATATGGGACCCACTCAGAGAGGTTTAGAATGTGGGCTGAACCGCTGAACAGCTCGTTAGCGTAAACTAGTTCAACAAAACCGGAAGGGTCTGACCGAAATAATTCAAAGTACGGTAAGGGCAACTTTTTGTCTCGAATACCAATAAAAAAATAATATTTTATAAAATAATTAAAATAGGATAATTTTATTTTGAAAAATATCAAGAAAGAATACAAAGCCTTGTTGTGGAGAAGGAGAAGTATATTGGATTCGTGTCGTTCACCTTCCCCGTCAACTACTTCCGTGTCATTTGGACAGTGTTTCCCCCTTTTCCCTCCTCTTCCCCATCTGTCACCACTAATGTTTCAATCTGCATCGGTTATCCGCTCTTGGTCTCTTATAAAGCCATCGTTGCATACTGTTCATCGTCTTCTTGCTGGGCGGATAAGAGAAGGAAGAGGAACAGTGTCCACTGACATGGGCGAAACCATTGTTCCTTTTATTTCTCTTTCTTCTCTTATCCGCCCATGCATTGTTAATGCATGGAGGATTCCTCGTTATATCCGCCCATGTCAGTGGGCAAAACCGCCGTCTTCCTCTTTCTCTCTTATCTGCCTCATCTTTCTCCAAGCCTCGCTGTCTTCTTCAAATCCAGTGTATTTGTATGAATACAGAGGTAGAGGAGGAAGACGAAAAACAGTGTCAGTACCCTTTATTGATATTTTTTCAAAAAAATTATCTTATTTTAATTATTTTATAAAAATATTATTTTTTATTGATATTCAAGGCAAAAAATTGCCCTAAAAACCCTTTCTTTTTCCCTTAAATCCAGTTTGGACCAGTTGTCGTCTCCTCAAAAGATGGTGTTTTTTTTTGGCAAGGTCTCAAATCATGGTTAGACCAAATGAATGTGAAACAGGGGAATTATAGGGGGGTCTTCGTACGGCTCTCCTGGCCACCGGAGACCACTTAGGATGGTCGCCGATCATCACCGACCAAAACAGACTATTGAAAACTGCTGGAGGGCCCTTCAGCAACTGAAAGATATGATAGGGAAAGAGTTTTGACTAATTAAAACCCACTTATGAATTTTGATAAATTACACCTTATTAACTATTACATTTACGATTCCAGTTGACTGATTTTCATTAAAGTTTTTACATAAACATCGTTTTTGCATTAACTTGTTCAGATAAGGATTTAAAAATGCTTTAAACAAAAAATAAAAAATAAAAACAACATATATTACTTTTTTAACAGCAACTATGTCAACCAAGAATAAAAACAAATACATTTAACAACATATGAATCAACGGGTTGGTCTGTCTCCCACCATTCGTCTATTACTTTGAACCATTGTAATTCATATATTAAGTGTTAGTCTTGAAGGCAACATGTCTCCCTATCCCTATTCAAGAAACTTAAGGCTCCTAATGATTCATTTTTTAGTATTTGATTGTTGAGATGCAATTGTTTGGAATGAGAAAAAAGTGAGACGATGGATCCTAAAAACAAGTGAGATACCAAAAAAACCCCAATGATAATGATAAAGGAAAAAAAAGTGAAATGCATATGAGAAAAATGGATTATGCTAGTGGTCACAAAACCGTACTAATCCTTGTCCTTTAAAAGACAACTTTTCATGCATTAATTAACTCAATACTTCGTTATCTTTTAATTCACTACAAGAAAAATGGGTTATGCTAGTGGTCACAAAGCCATCAGTTTAACCTTTAAAACCGCCCTCATAGACCCGAGTCAGTGGTTTTGCATCCGCCAACTTAGGCACTACTAGGGATGATGGCAATTTTTCCCATTTCCAACGGGGACCCAACTTCCCAGACCAGATGGGATCAGGGATGGGGATTGTTTTGGCAGGGCAGGGGCGGGGACGGGGACAGGGATTAATAGGAACCTTCAATCGAGGTCAGGGTCGGGGATGGGGATTGAGGTCCCTGCCCTGCCCCAACCCCGATTATATATATATCATTATTTATAATTTAAAACTTTTTGTTTATTTTAAGTAAATTTATTTTTCAAAAAAAATACTATTATCTAAAAAAAATCCGAGGATTCGGGTCCCTGCGAAGAACCCATCCCTGTTGAGGATTGAGGATGGAGGACAAATTTTATCCCTAACGGGGATCAGGAATGTGGATGGGAGTTAATTTTAAAATCGGGGGCAGGAACAAGGAATATGATCCCCGCCCCGTTGCCATTCCTAGGTATTGCAGCTTAGCTCATGCATGGTTGCCAGCACAAAGACACAAAACCAACACCTAAGAGGCATGGTCCAACTGTTTGCAACCAGCGGTTTTAACATAAACTGCAGCTTAGAGAGTAATAAAAGATGGTGGTTCTTGTCAAAATCACCGGCTTATACATACAAATACGGTGGCCAAGGCCATGTTGATCTGAGCGGCCAGATGCCCTCAATTTAGAATAACCTTGGTGTATGGACAAATCCTACGGCCGATGGCATAGCCTACACCAATGAGTAAATATCTTTGACTAGTCTCTTTTTCTTGGACCATTTATAGATAATCAAACTGATGCAAGACTCTTGCTTAGTATGGTCAAAGTTTGGCAAGGTAGTTGAGAAAATCAGGGCAACTAATCCTACCTTGTGGGACACTTGTCCCTTGATCCAAGAGGCAGAAAGAGTCTAGGTGGTTAGGATAATCTCGGAAAAAAAGTGTTTCCCTTATCTATTTTTGTACCGTTGAGTAGTGGAAGCACCATTAAAAGTATGGGGTTCCAATTCAACTCTGAGATACAATTTCATATCTGAGAAAATCCCGTCTCGAGTTGCTTCCTTAGGTCATATTAATGTCCTCTAATTTTATATTGGAGGACCGGTACAAGTGTGTTACTTATTTGCAGGGATCTTCAGAATCTGTATTTGCAGGGTTCAACAACCAGTACATATTTTAAAACAGGCCCCTATATATCCAATGGAATATCTTTTAATCTCATGCAATTGTAGGAGCAATATCAATGTCAACTTAAATGTCAAATTCTTCATAACTTCAATAATAGATAAGCAATATAATCCCAAATTGGGATTCATTCCTTAAAAAATTCACACCGATCTCACAGCCACATCCTACCATGTATTGGAAATATTTCTCTGAATAATAACATACAAATGCGGGAGATGTTCCCAAGAATAAATTACTCTATTCTGTGAGGAGCAGATCCAGACTCCATAATCCCCCTCATCCCCCCCACCCCCATTTATCTAAGTTGTATTTACAATTGTATCTTATAACAATATCAAATTTATGATTTATGAACCTTTGCCAATATTCTGTAAGGAGAAGATCCAGACTCCATAATTCCCCTTATTTTTTATTCTCTTATTTCTCCACGGATGTCATGCACCTTTGCCAAAGAAACCAATGCTTTACTTATCCATGACTTCAATCCTACAAGCTATCTCTTTATGTGTTTTGCACCAGAATCTGACCAAGAAATACCACACGTAGCACATATGGGTCCAAAAAATATAAGGAAATGGCACTAATATAAGAAAAGTGACAAAAAAAAAACGAGATTCTCATGAGGTATTCAAGATAAGCTTAAGTGGAGACTGCATACCAACAAACTAAAAACCAGTCACCATTGCGACAAATCATCCTAAATCATACCAAGTTTGTTATGAAAAGCAGAATCATATATCTGAGCTAACCAATGTGTTTCTGTAAATCCCAAACTATTGCTTCTTGCTACATCAGATAATTAAGTCGTTGTCATTGTCTTTGCCCTCACCTTCTCCAACTAACTAAGTCATACAGACAATTAAGGCCAAGGTTTTCGTTGGCTTTAGAGGTTGGGGATGAACTGGGTACGTCCTACACTTTTCTTCTTGATCTCCCTGAGTTTCTTCCTCGGGGAGTTGATTGTGGCTCAAAACAAAGCAATCCCCTTTCAAATAGGAATCGTTCTTAATTAGTTCTGACAAATGGATTGAGAAGATGGCTCTGAGCTGCATGACCATATCGATCTCCAACTTCTACGCCACCCACAGCTTCTACAGAACAAGCCTCGTTCTCCACACTTGCTAGGGGCCCAAATATTGACATCGTTGGCCGGCTTCTATGAGTAAGTTACTGCCTTTATCATCTTTCTATGATATCTTATGTTCTTTCTATCAATTTACTCTTCATTTTCCGCAAAATCTAGGTCATGCATGGGAATTCACATCTGCGCCTCACAGAGGGCACCCCACACCATATCCTAACTGTGTATTTGGAACATCTCCCACTAACAATTTCGGGAGATGTTCCCAATGCACGCTGAGATGTGCATGTGGGGCGTTTGTGGTGCGCAGACGTGATCTCCACACACGGTTACCTTCTTGTAAACTATTGCAGAAACAGAAATACATGAATGTTTCTTTCTGAAACCAATTCACTCCCTCCTGGTTTCCGGCATAAATATTTGCCTATTATGGCAGCATTGATATTCTTATGCATAAATCTTACAAGATTGGGGGGGGGGGTCTTCAAGAACAGAAATTGACGTGCCCAGAAGATGAGCCAACTTGGTCTTTATTTCCAAAACACATAGGAGAGAAAAAGTGTTGCTTTCTTTGGGAGTTCTTTATATTTCACTTGTATCATCCGCTATTCAGAATGAGCTTTCTTTGGGAATTGAATAAGGTGGTAATGACTATTAAAAACTACAATGTAATGTATTTTTCAAGCAGGTACCCCACATGCGCACGATAGCCCATCTCAGCCGTGTATTGGAAACACCACCACACAAAAGATTCCCAATGCACGTTGAGATGTGTATGTGGGTCGCTGATGCAAAATTGCAAATTCCTTCGAATGCCATCAACTTATTTATTGAGGCATACAGTTTCAATCCCTCGTATTTGCATCTCTCTCTGCAGGGAGACCTGCTTTCCTACTTTGCCCTATTGAAATATCTGATAAGTCAGAAGACAGACTAATAAAAGGAAACAAGGGGATACAGATCGAGACTTGGTTAAGAATCCACTTTTAGAAATCAGCTTGAATGTTCACAAGACCGTGCTCACACCATTAACAGTCTCTTGCAGTCTTGCATAGGAAATATCTTCCCAATGCACGGTATAAAATAACAGTTCCTTACAAGTACGGAAATATTCCCCATGAAAAATTACACAAAGTCGCTTAAAACGGTCCTTACAAACAGTGTAAACACGGTCTTGTGAGCCTACGACACGGATTAATAGAAAAAAAAAACTGTAAACATGGTCTTCAATGAATTATTGTGACCCTACCAGTATGCCACTTCATCTCTGTCTAGGTGGGACCATGCTAAATTTGGAGTCGTGGAAAAAGTGGATTGGGCCAACTTCTTTACTAACCAATCATTTATTATTGGAAGGATTTTATTCTCTACATGTATCAATTGCATAACTCAACTACCGCTGCAAAGAATGGCACTCTATTTGAATAGTTTGGGTTGAAATTTGATTTGGTTCGAATTTGATTCTAATCGAGTTTGAATTTTGATGTAATATCAATTAATTATTTGAATTTGAGCTTGATTAATAAAAAGTTGGGCTCAAAAGCCCGTGAACCTTGTTCAATATATAAAAATATATTTTATAAATAGCTTCAAGTGCTTGTATTTGAAAAAAAAAAAGAAATCGACAACAAGCCTTAAGGATCAGCCTAAAGTAACCTCCCTCTGAATATATAATACCAATACACTTCGGCATTCCTAGGACATGTAACAGGACGGCTTTCAAGGGATATAAGAACCAGGACCCATAGCAGCAATAGATGCATGGCCAATAGGTCATCAGGCAAGATGGTTGCAATGTATATAGGGGTCATCCACTCCCTTTGCTTATTTTTTTTTATGTCCTATTGTATGGCTCCTCAAGAAACAAGGGTTCCAACTAAACCCACAGTTTTAACTAATAGGTCCCATTAACTAAATAAATGTGGTATATTTCTATTGATCAAGATCCACAAAAGGAAGTTCCTTTAAATCAAGATGATCATTGGAGCTTTCTACAGATGAAAATTAAAAAACAAAAAACTTCTATATATATATATATATATATATATATACACATGCATGTAAGCTGCATGCAGACATATGAAGAAAAACAATTTTCACAAGCCATGATACATAAGCAAATCATGCGTAACAGTATGTGAATGTAATTTGAATTTTATTAAGTTTCCTGTGTTGCAAATCTGGAAATTCTTATACACAAAGGACCACAAGTATCAATCTGGTCCACTGATAAATGCAAATATTGACAATTCAGAAGTATCAATCTCCCCAAGTTAGAATGTATATTTGAAATGCAATACCAGTTCATTGAGTGTAATAGTTTAACCATTAGTCCCAATACCATGAAGATCACTAAATCCACTGCTTAACTATCAGTGGTGTTAGGGTTGATGCTCTTGCCTGACCTCCTCCTTTTCCTATTTCTCTTCCTACGGCCCTTGCCACCATCTTTGTCATCCTGCAGCCATGCTTCCTACATCAACAAGTTTCTTTGCATAATCAAAACTTTAAAGTAAAATGCAGCCTTGACTCTTGCCACTAGGTTGTATGGAGTGTGTTTACATGTCATCAGTTCCAAAACTTTGCAATGTTGACAAATGGAATGTTGTTTCAAACTCATTTCAGAATAGATCATTTTGAATTCTTCTTTTATTCCCCCATATAGGCATATCCCACTAATCGGTTATGTATCTTGGATGCATGGAGTATGCAACTATCAGTGATCAAGATATAATAATCTATAATATTATCAGAGCCAATACCACAATGCCCATACACATATTTAAACAGCAAAATCAGTGGTAAAACATTGGAAAATTAATATGCAAACCAGTCCATACCTAGTGCCTCCATATTCAACCTAATGAGCTCTCACAAAAACTAAGATAAAAGGCAAGGATCATGCTCCCAAAGGCATGGCAAATTGGCATTGAGATATTATGCAGATCAGGGGAAGAAAAACATAGACCCTGCTAGATCAAGGATTAAGTAGTTTTTGAACTAGATATCGTTGATGTTCAGGTTGATTGGATGTCTATTTTGTCAAGAAGTCCTAGGAAAATTTCATTTAGGAATCGAACTGTAGAGAGATTGATGTTCAGGTTGATTGGATGTCTCTCTAATTGTAGAGAGATATTCCTTACCAGCTTAGGAGAATTGCATTTAGCAGTTTTCCCTTTCTCTGTAGAAATCAAACTAGGCAAGCTTGAGAAGCTTTGAGAGTCTATTTAAGACTCCAGTTGGGATAGTCTCAACTCACTACACTCCACTGAAATTCAGCCATAGAGAAAAATAATATTCAGCTCAATTATTTACAATTAATTGAACTTCTGGAACTTGTGAGACAATCACCGTTGGTAGCGATCTTCACACTAGGAGGTTTTTTGCTCAATTTGTTGGGCAGCCAGTTGCATATTGTACAGAGCATCCATTTGGACCACAGCTATGCCACTTAGCTGCTTGCCAGGATCGAGAGAAAGGTGGAAATAGAGCATAACACCGTAGTGACCAGCTGCACTTGTGCTTGGATTTGTGCATCAGGTAACATTTATTTTATTTGTTTTGAATCTGAAACAAATTAGTTTAAGCTCCAATTTAGTGGAGGACAAAAAGTTTTTCCAGAAGCAAAAACTGGTTTTCGCAGTTGTTCATGAGAATAAAAATTTTAAAAATTCCTATCTAAGATTTCCAATTCTTCACAGTTGTCTTGAGAAAAAAGGTCACCTAATTGCATGTTGTATGGTTGTGTGGCAATAGAAGGTTATGCAATGATGTATGCCATGTGGCATCACAACAGATCACATTGTCACGGTCTAACACAGACTAGACTTACCTATGCTTGGTGGGTTTACGTTGAGTGGCATTGTCGTAAATGTTGCCGGTATGATTTTTCAAAAAAGTGATGCATCCATCTAGAAGACCTCCAAAAGCTTAATGTACTCTCTAAGGAGGGGTGGTCGACCTCCTTGGGTGCCTACCCTTGGCACTCTATAGACCCAACATCCCTTGCGGGGTGGTCCTGGTTAATGGTTAGCATGGCTACTTCCTAATGGGCACACACACTCATGGGGACAGTGCATGGACTGGCACTGTGCAATGCACATGAAGGGGAGGCTTTGCACGTGAGCTTGGCCTCAGCATGTCCCTACACCCGTTGCCCTTGGCACACGGGTGTGTTCATGACCCAGCGGTTGCCTACACACATCATCAGCACATTCCCCCTTTGGCACATAAGAGGCGCCTCCCATGGACTGGTAAGAGCGAACACAATGCCCGCTCCATGCATCGTGACATAATGATCCAGTGCCATTGACCTTGGTGGAGCCATTCAATGGGCTGACACATGGCCCTTAAACACAAAAGACTTGTCCTAGCCACCCATGGCCTAGACACAACACAAGTTTCTTCCTCTGCCAAAGCTAACCCCGTGATAGTTTATCAGAGCCATTAGCCAAAGCCTACATGACCCTGATGCTTGATGCTTGCTTGAACCAAAGTGGAGTGCCAAGGGACTGCACTCCACGATGTGGTGGCTCTTTAGATGACTACTGCCATAGTTGGTACCAGAGCGAACAAGCCAATCAATCTAGAGCAGTAGTCATCTAAAGAGCCACCACATCGTGGAGTGCAGTCCCTTGGCACTCCACTTTGGTTCAAGCAAGCATCAAGCATCAGGGTCATGTAGGGTCAGACGCATTGGCCATTCCTTAGAAGGTATATTGCGGTGGTTTGAGTGGGGGCGTGCGATGCTTCCTCATGGACATCAGTCACTATTCATTTTGGTGAGGTGTGGGTGGTGCGCCTACACCTTGATTTCAAGATGTATGAGCCAGTTCTATAGCTTGTCCAAGGCACTACTAAGGTGGGGATAACAGTGAAATTAGTTGGTGTCAACAGTTGGTCAAGGAATATCACTAAGGTGGAAGCTTTGCATGAAAAAGGGTCCTCGATTGAAGCTACAATATTGGAATGTTAGAAATGTGTGTACACTCGTTGTTGGAGCATGGCGGCACAGCACCAGCATTGCATCGGAAGACATGCTCAACACATCAAGGTGGAACATTTATAGCGTTAACAACACATCACATAGGTGGGTACATGTTTGGCAACATCATGGGTAAAAGTTGCCACCACTCACACAATGCAATCAAGATCCTTGAGGCAAAAACAACAGGACCCCCTCAAAGCGAAGAAGGTAGCTCGGACCAGCCAGGCGAAGTGTAGTTTCGAAGGCCGAAAGCACATAAGCCATGGCTAGATTTGAGGAACCTGAACACAGAGAGGTGAAGTCCGCAAGCCAACATGGTGAAAGGGTTCCCAGGAAGCAACGCCAACAACAAGTGAAGACCTCACATCGTGTTCAGTAGCACCACCAAAAAACTACCAAGAAGTTAGTCGAGCCTTTAGGTAAAGAGAACATGGGGCAAACCTCTGTGAAGCAACACACACACACACATCTTTGAGGGCCAAATATACACAGGCGACAGCTATTGCGTGGTTTGAGTAACCCCAACACAGCCGGTGAAGTCCAGGCAAGCCAGGTGAAATGGTTCAATCCCCTTACATGGATACCAACATAGGCGAGACCCTAGTTCACCAGGCGGCCCTGACTACGGCAACAATGCAACTAAACTGGAACACACGTGGATGGCGCGGGACAAATGCCCTTTCACCAAGGAGCTGTTGTTGGGAAGACAACGGATTGAGTGGGGGAGCCTGTCACGGTCTAACACAGTCTTAACCTTACCTACGCTTGATGGGCTTATGTTGAGTGGCATTATCGTAAATATTGCTGGTATGATTTTTCGGAAAAGTGATGTATCCTTCTGGCAGACCTCCAAAAGCTTAAAGTACTCTCTGAGGAGGGGTGGTCAACCACCTTGTGCGCGCGCGGGTGCACACACACACACACACACACACCCACACCCCATAGACCTTCCCTTGCAGGGCGAACTTAGTTAATGTCTAGCATGGCTGCA